GGCTGCTAACTGAAAGGTTGGCGGTTCGAATCCAGGGGAGAAAGAAGTCTGCTTCTGTGAAGATTACAGCCTCGGAAGCCCTGTGGGGCAGTTCCGCTCTGCCCTCCGGGGTCTTTTTCTAGTTCATTTGATAGTTGCTCACCTCCTCCCCAGTCTTTTCTTGTGTTGTGTGTACAGTTATATTACAAGTGTTTACGTTTTATCTCTCGACATCTGGTGGCTTCCGCCTTTGTATTCTCTAGAATCCTTAGCATAGTGCCTGCATGTGTGGGCCCTGTGTTTGTATTTGTATCCGATAGGCAGTGAATTTTAGAATTGTCCAAGTCTCAGCGCCCTTGGTCAGTTTGCCACATTTTCTTGATCTGTTGAGTGCTTTTTGTTTCTTTGAGCACCGGCAGCTCCCAGGAGAGACTTAAGCCAGGGTGTTTCACTTACGATTCTTTCCAGGGTAAGACCAGATCTGTTTATAAAGGAGCTTGATGGTCCAGTTTAGCAACCTAGAATGTCCAGGTGGTTCTCAGGAAAGCAGCGGGCTTAGTTTGTTGACTAAATTGGATATGAACACAGTTCAATTTAAAGGTGGGTTCTTAAAATGGAATTTCTTTTCGGTGGGTTTTCTTGGCAGAATGTGCCGTTAAGCTGATTAATTCTTAAGTTGAAACGCCTTCACAAAAACACAGCTTTCTTTAATACAGTACTAGCTTTTAATATGTCAAAATTGCATTCAGAGGTTGGTTACAAACTGAAAGTCCTGTTGTCAAGCTCCCAAACTGCAGGCCCAGAACTCTCTTTGAACAGGAAGAGTGGGTGTAGGAAGGTAGGAGGAAGCAAAGTCACCCCCAGGCAGCGTTCCTTACAGTGGCATGTTGATAAGGCCCTCGTTGTGTTTTTATTATTGAAACAATGGCCATGTTAAACAAATGAGTGAGCAAATGGCTCCAGCAGTTTTTTCTGTTACAAAAGTAATTTTCTCTTAAAAAAGGAGGCGTCAAAGAACATTTCTCCCTCTCTGAAGAAATTACTTCTGAAAGAGTTCGTTTTGTCCAGCCTTTCTTGATTTTTGCATTCGACACATGTTAGGCGTGATCAGGAAATGGCTGTATAATATTGCAGACAGTTATGAAAAAATAATACTTTTGGAAACTTAGCTGCTTTTTATGGTGGAGTGATTTGATCGTGGTGAGAGTTGAAAATGGGGCCCCTCCTGGCTCTCTTAGAGCCTTCCTAGTGCAGAGGTGAGCATGGAAGGCCAGCTGATGTGGGCTCTTTGGCCCAAACAGGCCTTTAAAAATAGCGAATCTTCACATAAAAATCCCTGTTGCTGGCTTCTCTTGAAACACTGGAAGCTGGCACACTCTGGGCCTGCGTGTCCTCAGAGCCACAGGGAGCTGGCATCAGGAGGGACCCTGGGGGAGGGCTCCAGCTTTGGGTCAATTTTTGTGTATAAAATGTGGCAGTCTAGCATTTAATTGTTTACATGCAGACCGTACAAACTGTAGATCGGTTAGTTTGTTGCTTTGGGCTAACCTGGACAGGCTCTGGCTTTGTGTAATAAAAGCATTTTTATTTACACATGGACTTTTTTCTCCCCCCAGAGCCACCTTTAGGGCCACCTTTAGCCACACATTAATGTTTTGTTGCCAACTTTTTATTTTGAAAATTTTTTATTTTCAGAAAAGTTGATAAAGTACAGTGAATACCTGTATGTATTTCAGTAGCTAAATTAACACATTTGCATTTTTTCTCTCTACACACACACACACACACACACACACACACACACACACATTTGTTTTCTGTAGAACCATTTGGAAGTTACGTATATCGTGACATTTTACTCCTAAATACGAAAGTATGTATTGGCCGAGAATAAAAATACCACATTATCACAGAAATTTAATCCTGATAGAATATTATTTCATTTGTATGCACAGTCTCAGTTCCTCATTTGCTCCCAAAATGTTCTTTTCAGCCATTTTTAATCTGATCCAAGAGCCAGTGAAGCATTGTATTTGGTAGTTCTGTCTCTTTAGTTGCCTTCGTTCTAGATGGTTCTCTGTGCTTTGTTTGTTTGTCTTTCACTTTTTTCCTTTACAAGCGTCCAGGCTGGTTGGTAGTAGAAAGTTGCATAATTTGGATTTGTCTGATTAGCCTCATGTTGAGCATTCTCATGCAGAGTGCTGGGTAGGCCCCGGGCACTTCCGTTGCATACCACAGACTGTCCAATGGTCCCAGTCAATACTGGTTCTACATTTAACCACTTGGTTAAGGTGGTGTCTTCAGGACCTTAGTCTCTTTGTAGCTAGTAATCTGTGGGATGATAATTTGAGACCATGAGGCTTTCTTCCAGCAGCCATTCAACTGGTTGATAGTTCTTGCCTGAATCAGTTACTGCACATGGGTGGCTGAAAATAGTGATTTTTCTAATTCTGCCATTCCTTCTGTGTTTATTAGGTGACATTTTTCTGTTAAATTTCCTCCTCTCCCCTTTTTCTTATCACTGTGGTTTATAATACTTGACCATCTTTTGTCTTTGTGGTGCTGAAATTATCCCAGAATTGGCCAGGGAAGGCCCTTCAGGCTCGTTCCTGTATCCTTTTGATGTGTCCTCATTAGTCATTGAGCATGTCCTTGCTTTCTGGTAAACAATGTTTCAGACTCACCTTGAACTTTGCTTGTACCAGAAGTGTGATCAGCCATTTCTCCAAGCAGCCTGACGCCTTTTTGGTAGGAATGGTGTTTAGAAACCAAGATTTGGTGCCAAATTTGCTCATCGCTACAGGTGTTACTGCTTCTATACCCTTCCAGTGGATAGAGCTAAAACATATATTAATGTTTTTAGTAAAACTAGAATGCTTCTATTTTCCAGGGGCTGCTAACATGCACGTAGAAACCTTACAGATTGTAGTCCATATTGAAAAGCTAGGGTACGGGTATCTATAAGCAGTTTCAGAGACTAAAGTTATGTCAGCTGTTTGCGGTCTTCCTTTCCCATAACCCTCTAAGATGCTAGGGTTTAATATACTAACAGTGTGCAGAGTTCATTAACCTTACCTATCTCTGAAAGACAGGCCAGGTGAGGTAAGTGAGCACAGAAACAAAGAGCTGAATTCCTTTATTTACCCATTGCCGGGGAGTCAATTCTGACCCCTAGCGACCCTGTAGGACAGGGTAGGGCTGCCCCATAGGGTTTCCAAGGCCTCTCCTTTCTTCCACGGAGTGGCTGGTGGGTTCAAACTGGCAACCTTTCGGTTAGCAGCCAAGCGGTTAACCACTGCACCACCAGGGCTCCTTTATTTACTAAACATTTATTCCATATTTTAAAAAAAGTTTACTGAACATCAGCTTTGTTTCAGGCACTGAATAAGGTCCTGGGGATGCAAAGAGAAGTAGGACTTTGTCTCTGCCCTGTGGCTAATAACACGTTTGATAACAGGGTGGCAGGACTCAGAGGGACCACTCCTGACACCCACAGCTCTGGAGAGGACTGTCCGGATCCCCCGAGGCAGCCGCTCTCTGGCCTGGACACCTTAAGTGCCATCTGGCTGGGGTTTACATAAGGTGAAATGCGATGCCTGTGCAAATAGGCGTCTACATGGAGAGACAGTTTTCCAGGGAATGGAAAGTTTTTAGTCTGTTTCAGAGTCAAGGCTAGGTCGTGTGGGTAATGTCTTATGCTGACAACCTCTCAAGAATTTAAAGGATGTCGTGGGTAGTTTGAAAATGGTCTAATTCAGCTACTTAAATAGGAGAGATCCTAGCTTACCCTTTGTGTAACTTAAAAGTTTTTTTTTTGTTTGATGCTCTCATATTCTCCATTTCTCGGTAGTCGCAGTGCTGGACTGTCCAAAGCCCGGATGTTTTGTTTTGAACATAGTTCAGGGTAAAAGTCAGTTTAGACAGTTTCCAATGTCAGTGTTAACTAAGTGATAATCAGCCCTTTTTTTCTAGAATGTATTGCTCACGTGCTCTGTACTCACTGCTGAAAATCCTTAGAGCTTCCTATGAGATTATCTGTGGCATGGTCTGAGCAGCTGAGTAAACTTCCTGAATGCTTTTTTTAGAAAATGCATGGAGACATAATGTGTGATTTATCAAGATTGTGGCAGTGATGGGATTCAGAATATATCTGAGTGAGCAAGGGGAGTAGATGAACATAGACGAATATCATTAAGGTCTGTGATCCATTTGGAGTTAATTTTTGTATAATGTGTGAGGTTTAGGTTGAAGTTTATCTGTTTTGCCTACGGGTGTCCAGTTTCTCCAGAACCATTTGTTAAAAAGGGGATCCGTCCTCCATTGAATTGCTTTTGTACCTCTGTCAAAAACCAGTTGGGTGTATTTGTGTGGGTCTGTTTGTGGACTCTATTCTGTTCACATCGCTCCAGTCCTCTGCCAAAACCACGGTCTTGATCACTGTAGCTATGTAACCAAACCAAAACCAGGCACCACTGACTCGACTCCAACTTGTGGCACCCCTTGCGTGTGTCAGAGTAGAACTGTGCACCATAAGGTTTTCAGTGGCTTGTTTTTCAGAGTAGATTGCCAGGCCTTTCTTCCAAGGTGCCTCTGGGTACACTCAAACATCTAACCTTTCAGTTAGCAGCCGAGCACGTTAACCATTTACTATACCACCCAGGGACTCCATAGCTATATAGTAAGCCTTAATAACCGGCAGAATAATCCCCCCCGCAACACACTCTTCTTTTTCAGAATTGTTTTAGCTAGTCTAATTCCTTTGCCTTTTCATATCAATTTTAAATAATCTTGTCTGTGGCTGGGATTTTGATAGAATTACGTTCTGTCAGTTTGGGGAGAGTTGGCATCTTTACTATGTCGAGTTCCAATCCATGAACACTATGTCTTTTTATTTTATTTATTTTATGTTGCCGTGTGTTAAGAGGTGATTGTTCCACCGAGAATATCAGTGACTTACCAGATTGCATCTTTATTCGGTTTCTTTTTTTTTTTTCCTCCTTAATGAATAAATAAATCTGTAGGCCTATGAAAGGAGGTTTCCTACATGTCCTTTGATTCCAATGTTCGTGGACAGTGACACTGTGAATGAATTCAAGAGTGAAGATGGAGCTGTCCATGTCATTGAACGGCGCTGCAAACTGGACATAGACGCTCCCAGGCTGTTGAAAAAGGTGATGAGAAAGGACGTCTGAGAGACGACCCCCCAGAACAAATGAATCAATACTTAACAGCTTCTGTTGCAGTTGGCTGTTCTTAATAAACTCTTTTTCTCTTTGTTTCTTTTTTTAAAGATTGCAGGGGTTGATTATGTTTATTTTGTCCAGAAAAACTCCCTGAACTCTCGGGAACGTACTTTGCACATCGAGGCCCACAATGAAACGTTTTCTAATCGGGTCATCATCAACGAGCACTGCTGCTATAGCGTGAGTAGCCCAGCGCGCTCAGCCGGACACGGCAGGCGCTCTGGCATACTGGCTGTCGTTTTACACAATGCACTTTTCTGTCTGTGAGGGCAGTTCTTCATCAGATGTTGTCACCGAGATTCGTGGCATTGTGGGGAAGCAGGGGCGGTTTACCACGGAATGGATGGCATTGTTGTGGCAGTTAAAGTAGCCCAGTGAGGCTGTGATTTGGTTTTTAATCCTACTTTAATATGCTGTTTCTTCTCTGGCCCCAGTCTAACACTTGAGAAATATATATTGAAGGACCCAAGATACTGATATTAAGATGAGAGCTGAGAGGCGTTACCTGCCCCCGCTTCCCTGCTCACTGCCCTGTGTCCAGATACTTCTCTGACCGGATTGTCAGAATTGCCTCCAGACACGTCTGTTTCCCTCTGTCCTCATCCTCCTACAATTCGGTCTCAGCACAGAATCCAAAGAGCCGTTTAAAACACATCAGATCATGTCGCTTCTCTGGGCTCCAAGCCCCGCAGAGTCCCCCCATGTCCTCAGAGGAAAAGCCCAGAGCCCTGCCAGTGGCCCACAGGCCCCGTGTCCTCACTTGGTCCCCACCTGCTGCCCTCGTTCATTGTCCCTGATCTGCAAGCGGCTTCCCCAGTGGGCCTTTGCATCACGTGCCCCTGCTGCCAGGAGCGCTTCCCAGACCTCTGCTTGCGCCCCCTCCCGTCCTTCAGTCTTTTCTCACGCCTCCCTTTGTGGACAACGCCAGCCTGGCCACCTGTTTAATTCTGTAACCTGCTAACCGCCCCCCGACCCCGTCCTTTTAACCCTGCTCTGCCTCTTCTGTTTTCCATAGCGCTCACCTTCCAGCACCCGTACGAGCTCCTCACTGTGTTTATGGCTAGTTGTCTCCCCTGGCTAGACCGGAAGTTCCACACGGCAGGCTCTTTGTTTAATTGGTGGTGGAGAGCAGTACCTGTGGTGCTCAACAGTACGCCACGTGAATGAGTGAACCAAAAACGGACACAAAGTTCTCCTTTTATAGCTGCCGTTAGGCTGTTTGGGGAAATTATTTGCACCTTTTCATGATTTTGAACCTCTCTGTGTAATTTTTTATCTGCTGTTTTCCTGATAACAACATTATTAGTAAAATATGTGTTTTCTTCTGGTTACCAGGTGGTTGAGGAACAGACAAATGGTACTCTCTGCTCTCAGTCTAGTTAACGGGAGTGCCTTCTCTCCTATCCACAGGTTCACCCTGAAAATGAAGACTGGACCTGTTTTGAACAGTCTGCGAGTTTAGATATTAAATCTTTCTTTGGTTTTGAAAGTACAGTGGAAAAAATTGCAATGAAGCAGTACACCAGCAACATTAAAAAAGTGAGTCGACCTTCAGATTTTCTGGAAGAGGGTGGACAGGAGTCTCTGAGATGACCTGAGGCCAGGAATGGTTAGCCAGGGGTTCCCAGCCATTTCTTGAAGAACTGCTTGGACTTTGCCCAGAGCCTGGTATCCCAGGAGTGGAGGGAGTGAGGTACCGAGGGTGCTCCTCGCCAGTAAAGAGGGAAGCGTGGCTGCTGGCTGTGGTGTTCTCTCCTCAGACTCGCCTAGAAAGGTGAGAGTTGGGGTGAGGCAGCAGCAGCCAGCTTAAAGCACCCCAGGTTCCCTCTCTGGATTTGCTGGTCGGGGCCTGTGTACTGAGGAGATTTACCAGGAGGTCTCTCAGGGGCTCCCAGCCCTTGGGTTGTGAGATTCGTCTTCCACGGAAGACATTCCCTCTTCTCTCTTGTCTTCATGCTGTGGCTCATCATCGTGTGGAATTTTCGTTTTAAATGTATTGGTGTGAGGCTGTGGGGCGCTTTTTGAAGGCTTGTTTGATTTCAGAGTACTGCGTTGGAGAGAATTTAGATTGAGACATAAAGCACATATTGAGTACAAGTATGGGAAATTAGTGTTTTTAATTAGTTATATAAAAACGTCCATCTTTTTAGATACTGTTTCCTAGACCTTTGGAGAAGAGGAAGCAAAATAAGAAAAACGAAAACACAAAGGCATTTGACTTTCTCCGTACTTTTTTCCTGTACCGATCAGTTTTGGTTCGTGTTTTCAAAGCCTGTGAGGGATGAGTAATGTGTATGTTATGAACATACTAAGTCTCAGCTTGGCTTTGTTTTCAAGGGGAAAGAAATCATTGAATACTACCTTCATCAGTTAGAAGAGGAAGGCATCACGTTTGTGCCCCGCTGGACGCCGCCTTCCCTTGCGCCCTCCTCAGAGGCAGCTTCCTCCTGCAAGAAACGGGCGGTGGCCACAGCTGTTGTCATCCCCGACACTGCCCTGACGGAAGGGCCGAGCAGCGAGGCCCTCAGTAATGCTGGCGGGGCCCCCGAACCATTGGTGGGAACCCCTGACGGTAGGTCTGGAAGAGGCTGTGTTCTTAGAACAATTCTTAGTAAATCGTTGCTGAGTGCTGTTGAGTCAGTTCTGACTCGTGGTGACTCCATGTGTGTCAGAGTAGAACTGTTCCCCATAGGATTTTCAATGACTGGCCTTTCTTCGGAGGCGCTTGAACCTCCAACCTTCTGGTTAGAAATTGAGCACGTTAACTGTTTGCACCACCCAGGGACTCCAGCCGGAGGCAAGACCCATCCTATACAAAGCAGAGCCATGTCGTTGTGACTTGGCCCCAGAGGGAAATGATGTCATGCACGCACTTTCAACAGAGGTGCTGTTGTGCCCCACGCATTATTGCTGTTGAGTCAATTCCGACTCATAGGGACCCTAAACGACAGAGTAGAACTGCCTCATAGGGTTTCCAAGGCAGTAATCTTTACGGGAGCAGACCACCACATCTTTCTCCTGCAGAGCTGCTGGTGGGTTTGAACTGCTCACCTTTCAGTTAGCAGCCAAGTGCTTAACCACTGCGCCACCAGGGCTCCCGACTAGAAGATCAGAGAGTCATTTTCTCTCTGGGTGCTGTACCTATTCTTGTTTACTTGGGATATTTAGATACTACATAAAGGAAATGTTAGTCTCTTATTTCTGGCCCCTATCTTTCAGCTTATATGACATATTCATTTTATTTTCTCTGAGAATGAAGAAACTTAGGATTTTTGTTTAAAAGGCAGGAAGGGGTTATGTCAGCAGTCATTCCTTTGGTGAGACCAGGAAGTGCTGACAACATCTTTAGTGAATGGATGGTAGTGATGAACCCTTTAACACAGAGTTATAGCATCATCATCAAACACTTCTTATGCTCACTGTGTGCCAGGCCTTCCCAGGAGCGTAGCGAGGGTAGTGAGCACCCAGGGGCAATCTCTAAGTATGCCTCTCCCCAGTTAAAGCACCCAGGGGCAATCTCTAATTTGCATCCCCCCCACCAATTTCAAGACGAATAGACCTTGGTAGCGGCGGGGTGTCAGCGGAAACGCCTTCCCCCTCTTGGCTGGCTGCCTCAGGTGCCTTTCATGTCTGGGGCACCTCGGAATGTCATTCCGCACTTCGTCTGGCGCCCCCTTAGACTTAGGCCAGGAGCAAGGCCACTCTCTGGGCTCCCCCACCTTACCTCCCACTACACCTCTGGGCCCCCCTGGGTGGCACAAACAGTTAATATGCTCCACTGCTAACTGAAAGGTTGGTGGTTCGACTCTACCTAGAGGTGCCTTGGAAGAAAGTCCTGGCAATCTACTTCTGAAAGATCATAGCCATTCAGAACCCTCTGGAGCACAGTAATACTCTGCCACATGTGGGGTTGCCATGAGTCAGAATCGACTCGATGACAGTTGGTTCTGTTTTTGTTTTCTGTGCCAGGCACTGTTCTAAGCAGTTTATGAATATGCACTCATTCAATATTGGTTCCTTTAAGGTAGGAACTTTATACCACATATTATCTGAGACACAGACTGATTAACTTGCCTGGGGTCACACAGCTAGGAAGTACAGGTCTGGCTCCAGGGTCCGTGCTTTTAGCCACAGTGTTGTGACACCTTACACACACACACACACACACACACACACACACACCCCTTTTCTCTAATTATAAGAGCAATGCCTATTTTAAAAAGCTCAGAAAACGTAAGAAAATTCTACCACTCAGAAATGTTATCAAAATGTATCTTTCCACACATTCTTCTCTGCAGTGAAACTGTGCCTGTTGTTAGCTTTTAAAAGGTGGCAGGAGTTTTCCTTGGTTTGGGGATGCGTTTTCTTTTTCCCTCGTGAGCTTTCCTTTGCCGCCTGAAACGTTGGCTGTCTCGTTCTTCCAGCGTGTGCTACAGTGTCATGGAAAAGAGGCCCCGTGTTCCTGAGTAGAGTAGCTCGATCCAAGATAGGCTTAGAGCTACTTGTTTGTCTTATCTCATAGTTTGCTATCCTGTGAGACCCCTTTATAGAACTGTAAATAAAAACAGTCATTAAAGATCTGTTATGTCCATCATTTTATTATGACTGGCGTAGAGATTCTGGCAGGAGGTGGCCGGCTGATAATGCGAGGAAGAGAGTTGACGAGAAAGTTCGCCTGCGTTCTGGCTGGTGTTTTCATTATAAAGAGTACCAGTGAATTTCTCTGAGGGGTCAGTTTAAATCTGCCATCTCTAGGGTCTCATTTACCTCTGAGACTCCAGGACCACGCGTTCACCAAGCCGTCAAGTTCCAGTGTTCTTAGTTGTAAACAATACCGTGTAACTTATGTTCCAGATAAATTAGATGCAGACTACATCAAGAGATACCTGGGCGACTTGACCCCCCTGCAGGAGAGCTGCCTCATCAGACTTCGCCAGTGGCTCCAGGAGACCCACAAGGGCAAGGTAAGACTCCACCCGCGGCGTGCAGGGGTCTCCTCAGTGTGAAGTCATGGGGTCCTTCTGCTCACGGCGGCTGAGTGCCTACTTGCCGCGGCTGGGGTGTTCCTTCAGATCTCAGAGGGATTCGATCGGCGCCTCTGTGGCGTCTCAGTCCTTTGTGGTAGGTCCTGATGCTCCTCTGTGTATAATGAGCCATATTTTCCTGGGTTTTACAGGGGGTGGTCTAGGCTAAAAAACAAGCATCAAATCACAAAGCAACACTGTGTTCTAAGTATTCATACATTTTACTTTCCAGAGGGTTTGGAGTTCACAGATGATCTATCCAGAGATTACAAATATTGGGACTTTCATTTTGAGTTTTTTGGTGGAATTTTTTGCCTCATAAGGAATTAATTCCATTTTTGTAATAAGCCTTTTACTAAGGGGGGTGGGGGGCGGTAGTGGGCAGAGGGGGGTGTGTGTGTCTGGTTACTGCCCTTACTTGGCAGAGGGAGGCTGGCACTGCGTGCAGTTGACCTCCTCTCTAATTTCTGTCAGACCTGGTTACCAGAGACCCAGCATACGAGCACTGTGTTACCACCAACAGTCAGGAAAACAGCCGCAGTGATAACAGCTACCGCTGCTCCTGTACTGCCGTGTGCTGGACACGGCTTGAGCCCCTTTATCAAATCCTCCCAACAGCCCTGTGTGGTGGGTGCTCTTTTTGCCACCTCGTTTTACACAGGAAGAGACTGAGGCATAGAGAAGGGAAGTAACTTGCCCGAGGTCTTTACAACTAGTGCGTGGTGGGCGCAGGGTGTGAACCCAGGCTGTTTGATTCCAGAAGCCACATTCCTAACGCTTCCGTGTGCCGTGACCGTGTGGTCCTTTCTGAGTGAAGTCGCTGCCGCATCAGCGGTCACGTGCTCTGAGTGGGTCTTCCAGGGTGGGTGGTGAGCAGGCTCACGCTCACACTTCCTTCCTGGTGCCCTTGGACCGGTGGCACGCATTTCCCATGTGTGTGTCAGCGAGTGGCCATGGAGAAAGAGGCCCGATCTGGAGGACGCAGCCGTAGTCAGGGAAGTATTCAGTAGTCAGTATTCAGGGAAGCGGCCTATTGATCACCCGTCGTGGAACCTAGAGATGCGTCCTGTAGGTTCACAGCACCACCATCATTACCAGAACCACCAGTGCATTTTTGTCTTGTAGATTTTTATTTAAGCATGATACATACACAGAGAAGTACACAGACCCTCCTAATCTGCAGATCTTCTCAGCGGCCCAGTTGATGTTTACAAAATCATTTGTGTCTTCACACCACTGAAACTAAGATGCGGTGCTGTCAAGATCATCAGACTAATAGTGCTGCTTTTCTGAAGCATTACAGATTTTTCTGGTAGCAGCTAATTTTAAATAGTGGAATGCAGCTCAGTCTTGCTAAGTGGTGGGAGTTTGGAAGGCTTACTCTCTTAGCAACTTCTGACATTGCTTAGAAACGTCTCTTTCTCTTACTAGATCCCCAAAGATGAGCACATTCTTCGGTTCCTACGCGCTCGGGACTTCAACATCGACAAAGCCAGGGAAATAATGTGCCAGTCCTTAACCTGGCGGAAGCAGCACCAGGTCGACTACATTCTGGACACCTGGAACCCTCCGCAGGTCCTTCAGGATTACTACGCGGGCGGTTGGCACCACCACGACAAAGGTGATCCACGCACTTGGCCCCGTCTAAGTTTGTATCGTGATCTGTCTCAGCAGGTCATAAAGACTCTCCAAGACCTCCCTCCCGTGAGCGTGTTGTCCCTGCCCACTTTTCCCGACTTGAAACCAGCTGGTGGTGCATCTTTCCCTTTCTCTGAGTTCTAGAGCATCACAGCCAGTGCCACACTCCTAACGCAGCCTGACTATACCTCAGAGAGCAGCCTGGGAGGCCTGTGTGTGCTTCCTCCTCCTACGCCCATGTCACCCCTGGGCAAGTTACTTACTGCCCTTCTTAGTGCAGTGGGGCCTGGTTTGCCCGATTATCATCAAGCCTGTCTAGTCTGAAATGTGTGCAAGGAGGGTTTCTCCACCGGTACTGTGCTAGTAAAGGGACTTTTCAATGACTTAAACCCCTACCCATTAAAAACCCACTACCGTCAAATGGATTCCGACTCATAGCGATCCTATAGAACAGAGTAGAACTGCTCCATGGGGTTTTCAAGGAGCAGCTGGTGGATTCAGACTGCCGACCTTTTGGTTGGCAGCTGAGCTTTTAACCACTGTGCCACCCTGGCTCCTGAACCCCTAGAGTATAAAAATGTTTGGCCATATTTTCTACATCTAAGTGAAGAGCTTCAGTTCTGCCCTGGGGAGTAAGTAAAGCATAAATCCAGGGCATGGTACACCTAGAATGAAGAGTGATTTAAATGAGGAATTTAAAGCACAGCCTACTCGGTGGCTTCATGCATCACGCCCTGCACGAGACCCTGCCCTGTCCAAGATCTGCTCCTCATTTCCCTGTTCAAAACCTGATGGTGGACGGAATGGACCGCCAACACTGGGAGCTCGCCCCCGGGCTTACCGTAGGACCACTCCCTCTCCCACCTCGGACAGACCCTTCTAGGGCTGGAGAGTCCCTACCCGTCTGTTTTTCTGACTTCATCTTTTGTATTTCTCCAGATTAATTCTAGCTTTATTAGTTTTTACTGGAAGCAAGTAATATTTATATTTATTCCATTCTGTGATTTTTAAAAGATTGAAGCTTGGTAGTAAGACATTGACAAATGTGTCTTATTAAAAGTTGGGAGAAATTTTTTTTTAATCAGCCTTTCAGCAAGATTTTGGGGCACAAAACCTTATTGCTTTTTTTAAATTTTTATTTTATTTACTTTAAGTGAAAGTTAACAATTCAAATTAGTCTCTCATACAAAAATTCATACATACATTGTTATGTGACCCTAATTGCTCTCCCTATACTGTGACAGCACACTCCTCCTTTCCACCCCTGATCTCCCATGTCCATTCAGCCAGCTCCTGACCCTCTCTGCCTTCTCATCTCACCTCCAGACAGGAGCTGCTCATTTAGTCTCATGTATCTACTTGAGCTAAGAAGCACACTCCTCACGAGTATCATTTTTTGTCCCACGGTCCAGTCCAATCTTTGTCTGAAGCATTGGCCTCGGGAATGGTTTTAGTGCTAAGTTGGCAGAGAGTCTGGGGGCCATGCTCTGGGGTTTATCTAGTCTCGGTCAGACCTTTTTGCTTTAAGTAGAACATATCGAGAGCCAGATTCTGCTAGGAGGTGAAGTTTACCAGGTGATAAATACAAGGTAAATGTCAGGCCCTGTGACCACCATTAAGATTCATTAACAACCTGCGATATGCAGGTGACACAAGCTTTCTTGCTGAAAGTGAAGAGGACTTAAAGAACTTACTGATGAAGATCAGAGACCACAGCCTTCAGTATGGATTACACCTCAACAGAAAGAAAACAAAAATCCTCACAACTGGACCAATAAGCAATATCATGCTAAACAGAGAAGAGATTGAAGTTGTCAAGGATTTCATTTTACTTGGATCCACAAGCAACGCCCATGGAAGCAGCAGTCAGGAAATCAAACGATGCATTTCATTGGACGAATCTGCTGCAAAAGACCTCTTTAAAGTGTTAAAAAGCAAAGATGTCACTTTAAGGACTATAGTGCATCTGACCCAAGCCATGGTGTTTCCAGTCGCCTCATATGCATGTGAAAGCTGGACAGTAATTAAGGAAGACAGAAGAAGAACTGACGCCTTTGAATTATGGTATTGGCAAAGCATATTGAATATATCATGGACCGCCAGAAGAACGAACAAATTGTTTTGGAAGAAGTACAGCCAGAATGCTCCTTAGAAGTGAGGATGGCGAGAATTCATCTCCTATACTTTGGACATGTTGTCAGGAGGGACCAGTCGTTGGAGAAGGACATCATGCTTGGTAAAGTAGAGCGTCAACAAAAAGGAGAAAGACCCTCAAGGAGATGGATTGACACAGTGGCTGCAACAATGGGCTTAAGCATAACAACGATTGTGAGGATGGTGGAGGACCAGGCAGTGTTCCGTTCTGTTGTTCATAGGGTTGCTAGGAGTCGGAATCCACTCGATGGCTCCTAACAACAATGTGACCGCCATTAACAGCAGAAGTCAAGCCATAGTTGCCTTTCAGGAGCGTGATCAATCCATGTTCTTTCCTGCTGCTCTCCTACTTCTACTTCTGCTACTTCACTACTCCTGAGTAGCGGGAGTCTGGGTACTGCTGACTGTGGGGTACTCTCTGGTCACCGGGATCTTTTTCTCCTTTGTGTAACAGGCAGTGATGGCGTGGAGCTTCTGGGATGACTTAGGTTCCCTTCAGGCTCCATCCATTAGACCTCCAGGCCATAAAGAAGTAGAGCCAAAGTTTACTGAATTTATGAATTTAAAGATTTCCAGAAAGTCCTTATCTGTCCTTGGCACTTAGAGGGGGAATTGAGGGAAGTTGACTTTTTAAAAATCTTCACATGAACTTTTTGTTAACTTAAGAATTGAAAATTTCGTAAAATTTCTATGCATAGAAAAATGTGGCTAAACTGATACTCCCCTGCTTTTGAAAACCAGCGCTTGTTGAACCCCCTGGTTGATGAAGTGAGGAGACCAGGCCTTGCTGACGCCCACAGTTCCCCTGGTCCTGGTCCCTCTCGCCCCAGTGAGCCCTCCCCATCCTCTTGCTCCCCAGCCCCAGCGAGCCCTCCCCAGCCCCAGCGAGCCCTCCCCAGCCCCAGCGAGCCCTCCCCAGCCCCAGCGAGCCGTCCCCAGCCCCAGCGAGCCCTCCTCAGCCCCAGCGAGCCGTCCCCAGCCCCAGCGAGCCCTCCTCAGCCCCAGCGAGCCTTCCCCAGCCCCAGCGAGCTCTCTTCAGGCCCTGCTGAACTGCTCCTCAGTTGGCTCTTCTTTCTTTTACAATTTAGGGGGAAGTGTGGGAACCCCTCACAGGAGCATAGGCTCACCTGTAATCTCCTTCTGAAGGTTCTTGTTGATGCCTCTTTGCTGACAGTTTGTTTCCTTCCCCTCCTACAGACGGGCGGCCCCTCTACGTGCTCCGGCTGGGGCAGATGGACACCAAAGGCTTGGTGCGTGCCCTCGGCGAGGAGGCCCTGCTGAGATACGTGAGTGTTCCCCTGCGGGGATATTAGGATATTCAGACATCAGAGGATGTTTTATAAGCCTGGGTTGGGGAAGTCCTTCTCGAGCAAGCTGGGAAACCCAGAGCTCTGAGGAAGAAAATGGGATTTGGCAGTGTTGTGTGTAAAGATCTCTCTGGTAAATGGTACCTGGAGACACAGTCAGAAGACAGAAAATAACCCGGAAGAAAATATTTTTAACATGTACTGTACTGGATGAATGGTAGGTATTCCTTACATACGAAGAATTCCTGCCAGTTTAAGATAAAGACATCTCAGTAGAAAAATTGGCAGAGGCTTTCAACAAGCAGTTTACAGGTGAGGAAATATAAATGGGCAAGAAACCTGTGAGGATGCTCAGCCTCCGGGACGGCGGGGGCCACTGTCATGCAGTCAGGCAGTGAGAACGAAAACGTCGTGCGTTCAGTGCTCCTGAGCATGCGAGGAAGTGTATACTAATCCATTTGCCATCGCTGTTTGAGAAATCTGGCAAATACATATGAAAAATGTCAACATTCATACCTTTTTACCCAGTATAAACAGGTCTTTATTGCAACAGTGTTTTAATACCAGAAAAGGGAACAGTCTGAATGTCCATTAATAGGGTAGGGGTTGAAAAAATATTTCCCTTCTATGGAAAATGGCGCGGCTGGTAAGATTGAGTTGGGTATACGCGTCGCGACAAGAAGCGGCGCTCACAGTCATTAAGTGAAAAAAGCAAGTTGCAGTGTGGATGATGTGACTCTGTTTTTTACAAAACAGAAGTCTAAAGCACCGTATCTTTTTTTAAGCGCTGTTTACACATCCTGTATGTATTTGTGTGCCCGCCAAGTGTTTACCATTGGTACTAGGAAGAATGAGGAGAGGTGGTGGTCTTTGGCTTCATATCTGTGTTCTTAGGCTGATTGACCTGATATCACAGGTTTGCACAGGTGGTCCCCAACTTACGATGGGGGTCCGTTCTGACCACGCTGTCGTAAGTTGGTTCTGACGTAAATTGAATACTACCTCATGTTGTCTGTTTGTCCTGTAAACAGTAGATTAGAACTGATATATCTTGCTGATGGATTGAACTTTTTATCATTGTGTAGTGATCTTTCCCATCCCTAATAATTTTTGGTTAGTCTATATATTAATATAGCTACAAGTTGCTGTCAAGTTGATTCTGACTGATAACGACCCTATAGGGCAGAGTAGAACTGCCCCAGAGGGTTTCCAAGGAGTGGTTGGTGGATTTGAACTGGCGACCTTTCAGTTAGCAGCCAAGTGCTTAACTGTTGTGCTACCAGGGCTCCGTAGCTCTACTAGTTTTTTTCTTCAAGGAGCCCTGGTGCCTCAGTGGTTAAGCACTTGGCTGCTAACCAAAAGGTTGGCAGTTCGAAGTCACCAAGCTGCTCTACCGGAGAACGATGTGGCAGTCTGCTTCTGTAAAGATTGCTCATTGCCGTTGAGTTGATTCTGACTCATAGTGACCCTCTAGGACAGAGCAGAGCTGCCCCATAGGGTTTCCAAGGCTGTGATGCTTACTAATGATAACAGGTACCAAAAAAACAGCAACAGACGGTTGTTAAGTACGGTTCGTTGTAACTCGAGTGCGTCTTGAATCGGGGACTACCTGTATCGCTTTTGTAGTTAGAAAGGAAAATCTGTTTATATATTTAAAAGATTTCAGAAGATGACACAAAATTACAAAAGCGTTTTTCACAGTGGAAGCTTCAGGAAAACCATCAGCATATCCACTCAGGATGACTTCTTAGGAGCTGATTCCGAGTCACTGCTTCACTTCACTGTCCCCAGCCTAGCTTTGCTTCCAAGGTGTCTCTCACATCAGGCCTCTGCAAGTATTCTCTCCACTGGCACGTCCTTAACGCAGGCCCTCAGTGTCTCGTCCGGAGTAGCCTGTCCCCCTGACTGCAGGCTCACCCATCTCCAGTGCAGTCTCTGTGGTGTCGGCACTGCCGTTTCCCCTCCCTGCAGAAGACTGTCCTTAAATTAGAAACACGGCCAGAAGGCACATTTGTAATCTCGTTATCCTAAACTTCGACTGCCACCATTTTGTTGGGTATTCTGTTAGTGCCCCCACCATGTGTGTACATGCACACATACACACATATCTATACGAACACGTATATGCACATAAAGACGGACGGACTTTCGTAGGGGAAGGATTGGTTAGTCCAAATTGAAGGCTCTCTTTAACTGTACTTTGAGAATATGCTAAGACAGCCCTTTCTCTTGGCAGACATGTGTAGTATCAGAATGTTCCCACACTTAACAGACACGTATCTTCAGTTCCAAATATGTTTGTTCTGAAGACAAAGCAAAAGATCGCCTCCTCCCTGCTCATCTGGTGATTTCTCTTGCTATTATTTTACTTGGGGTATCACTTTGGCCAGAGATGATAGTGTTTATTCTCCTTTGAGAGTAAAATATTCTGTCGGTGAGACATTTTGTGTGTATGAATGTGGCAGAAAATCTAAATATATGACTTGTTGGGTTCACATGCCTCCCTGTAAAATGCTGTGTTAATCTCGCTTGTTTTCATAGCTTGCTGCAGTAGTTTTGCCCTTTTAAAGACTAACCGCGGTCATTTCATGGCTCTTGTACGCACAGGTTCTCTCCATAAACGAAGAAGGACTAAGACGGTGTGAAGAAAATACGAAGGTCTTTGGTCGACCTATTAGGTAGGTGTGGGATTTTGATTTGCTCCCAGCTCATTTGAGAATATGAATTACAAGTTTCCAGTTGATTTTTGGCACCAAAATCTGAACGTTTACTGTTTTCCACAGTGTTCCACGTGGTAGAAAATAGGTAAAAATGTAACATGAGTATGTGGGAGGGACAGCGGCCAGGTTCTAGTATTTCTTCCTCCACTGGGGTGTGCTGGCGCGGCATGAGATGGGTCGGCCTATCCGGTCAGTCGGCTTGGTCCTCATGACCCCATCTGCAGCTTTGATGCAGGCTAGTCAGTTTTTGCCTGCACACACACACATAGTTATTCTGCATTCCTAAAGCAGACTTCTGATCATGGTGAGCTGTTGTAGAAAGGTGAGTGACTCACAGAGGTTGAGAAAGGCCTCAGTGGCTCACTGGAGCGTAGCCCCATGGAGGCGAGGAGGGTGAGGGTCCTTGCTCACTGCTGTATCCCCAGCTGCAAAGACAAATATATATTAAAATTGTCGGTATTCATACCTTTTTCCCTAGTATAAAAGAGTCTGTATTGCAATGTTGTCTTAATATCAGAAAAGAGAACCATCTGAATGTCCGCTAATAGGGCTGAAGACAGGCGTATCGTGGCTCAGTCCTGCTGCCTGTTAAATGCAGGTGTGCGCCCTGTTGGCAGTGGACCAGGAGACGTGACTTGAGTGTGAAGGATGACACACATCACCCTCTTTGCCAGATCACCGAGCACCCATCGCTGAGGCTGTGGACGAGCCATTGGTTGCTTTGGGTGATGGGTCCTGTCCTCTGTGCTTTTTAGGAGTAGATAACACGTTTGCTGTACACATAGTTCATGAAACTGCAATTCCCCAAAACTAGAGTATTTTTGGAACTGGATGTAAATGACTGTGTTATGATTTCAAAAAGAAAAGGTGAAATACAGAGCACCGTGTGCCACTCGTGCTGTATCCTGAGTGACGCACGGCTCCGTAACCCCGCAGCTCGTGGACCTGCCTGGTGGACCTGGAAGGACTGAACATGCGCCACCTGTGGAGACCCGGCGTCAAAGCCCTGCTGCGCATCATCGAGGTGGTGGAGGCCAACTACCCCGAGACGCTGGGCCGCCTCCTCATCCTGCGCGCCCCCCGCGTGTTCCCCGTGCTCTGGACGCTGGTGCGTGCAAATCCCCCACGTGTTCCCCATGCTCTGGATGCTGGTGCATGCATATCCCCCACGTGTTCCCCGTGCTCTGGACACTGGTGCGTGCAAATCCCCCACGTGTTCCCCGTGCTCTGGACGCTGGTGCGTGCA